ACTTAATTTAAGCAGATGAATACATTATGAAAAATGGTAATTGTCTCAGATACTCGACTGGAAAACTGATGAAAAGCCCAATACGCAAGAGTTATACTATAATTGACTATGAATGAGTCTTTGAATATCTCGTCGATAATTGGGCTCGAATGGTTTGAAAAGGGTGAAAAAAAAACAGAGAGAAAGCAAGAACAAATAAAAAAAAAAACATTATTATAACTTTTCATGGAGGTTTTATTAGAATTAATAGAGAAGTGATGTTGTATAAATATAAAATGAAATAGATAATAGTCGAACCATTAATATTTCAAAATAAGGGGTATAAAATTTTAAAGTAAAATCTTATCGAGAACTTCAAGAGGTCTGATGGAATTGAAAGTTGAATCCAAGCGAAGACATTAGAGAGAAGACAATAGGAAATGAGAATAAGTAAAAAGAGAAATACACGGAAACGTGAAAAATACTTTTTAACAAGAAAATATACGTAGAGAGATTGTAGAACGACAGAATTATATTGTAGAAAAGAAAGGCACAAAACAATTTCTATGTATATAAAGAAAGCGAGCGGTGTCGGGTGTCGGTAGGAAACCAAGAGAGATATAGTGATAGTGGGAGAGGGGTGTGGGGTGTGGAGGGGGTGTACGAGGGGGTGTGACCGAGACTGGGAAGATGATCTATACGGAATAGTACGTGCGGAAACATACGGATCTCCGCTGATATCGCAGGCCACATTTACATGCGCACCGCCGAGGCAGCAAGCGACACCTAACGACATTCCCCGGCGTTACGTGATGACGTACGAAAAGTCTCTGCTTTTGTCCCGCACTCCGACTCTACACCCACCCAACGAAACTTTTCTTTAATTTCGATACCTCTCCGCCTGACTCTTATCAAGTTTTCATTGAAACGCAATCTCTTGTAACGCCCCCGCCTCCTCTCTACCGCGTATGGTAAACAGGAGGAAATTATTTCGCCGTCTAGCTGCCATGGCGTCTTGTGAATCTAGACTTTTTTCATTCCCCCCCCCCCTATGACCTACGCGGCTCATTTACTACATTTATGAAAAAGTATCGTGACTAAGAATAACGTTTAAAATAACATGAAATCCCAATGGCGCTGTACTAATGTGTTTATGCCGTATTACAAGTAAACGGGTGTATGCTATGAATGGTTACTTATATTGGCTCTAATGAATAATCAATACAAATTGAATCGCTTTAAAACAAAAAGCAAGAACAAAGACAGAAAGATTCCGCAACGCTCACTCTTACGCCTTTGAATTATCGGTTCCAAAATTTCTTGTATTATTTATGTCACGTTGTTGCCGAACTGGTAAGTCTATTTCTCCTCGTAAAGTGAATTAATCCTCTTTTGTTAAAAGATGACAATTTGAAGTTGATAAAGTTGGTAATGCTATTATCGGCCTCTTCAAATATTTTGAATTACGAATCGACTAAGTGACGTCCAAGTGAAGAAAAAGCATGTGGTAATCCAAAAGGGGTTGAGTCCATGTGACGGGCGAACGGATTGACGGGGAGATAATCCGTGTTGAGGGAAGGGGGAAACTTCTTTCCCGTTGTATGTTGTTCCGTGTAGTGTTGAAGTATCAAGAGAATTCGAATTTGTGTCGAGCAACGTGTAATCCATTTTAATTTTTTGATTAGTCGATCGTAAATAGCCCGTTAATTTTCTCCTACTATTGCTGAAAGTTCTATTTTTTTTTCTCCTAAACCCATATATCTATCGATACAGCAAATTTCCCTTCGTTTTTCCTACTACGTTTCACAATGCTTTTTTCCTTCCAAAATCTGCCTTTTATTAAATAAGAGAAAATAATTTCTAAGCCCTCGGGAATATACAGCCACGGCGTATGGCTTTCCAAATTTCACTCTGCTGGTTCATAGGAATTGTAAGATTTGCCGTCAAGAGATTATACCGTTAAGAGGGAAATCATTCGTTATAAATTATCGTTACAGGTTACGAATTTAACGAATCGAGAAAAACAGAATTTAATAACAAAAGCTTAATTTATAATGATAGATTATAGAATAATAATTAAAAAAAAAAAAATAAATAAATGATTTTTTCACTTTGGATTTAATAGTGAATAAATTTCATTTACGTTTATTCTTACATTAATATAAATAATTGCTCTTTGCTTGCTATATTAGCTAATAGAATTAAATATCATATCGTCGCTGTTGCCTGGATAAGAGCGAATATTCTCGAATATGATTAAAAACATGCGATAAAATTAGATTTTGTCGCATTATTATAAAATTTACAAAGCAATTTTAATCTAATGACCGACACTCTTCGTTTCACTTTCATTTCCTACTGAAATTGGTTTCTTAAAGACAAAGTATTTTTCATTTTAATAAGTTTTCAAGCGCTTAAAAGTAGAAAAATATAGTAAATTATATTTAGCGTCGATTGAATAGCGTGAGAAAATGTTTGAAATGCTAATAATAGCGGATAACCAGTCAAAAAAGAGAGATAAACGAGGAAAAATGGAGAAACTCGATTGTAAGCATCGGGAACGTCTACTTTTGCTCCTATTACTCCTTACTTTTTCCTCTCTTTTACTCATCTTCTCTTCCTTGCTAAGCGAGATTAGAATAAAAGCTTCTTTCGGGCATAGCGATGTAATCCAATAATTGCAATAAAAATTCTCAAAATATGCAGATGCGGTCTTGTCGCACATTCCATTCGCTCGTTACACACGTTTACTACTAATAATACGCCAAGTATAAAACACGAGTGTATGTAACAAATGCAACACATGCGTTAAAATGTAGGCTCGCTTATCCTCGCGCCACCTCATAGCTGGGTCACGAGGAATTCGGTCCTGTTACCGCGCAGCGTCCCATTTTCATTAAAAAGAAAGAGAGAGAGAGAGAGAGAGAGAGAGAGAATGACAAGAAAAGAAGATTAAATTAGCCAGGGAAGAAGCGAAAAAAAAAAGAAAGGAGGACAAACACGGCTTATCAATGGATAACATAAAAGTTATCAATGAAGGACGTGGAAGAGGTAGGGCTTCGATTATATTAATTAATTACTCGAATATTTCCGACAGTAGCCGATAAAATGCATAACGCACTTGTAAACGCACGTAGTGCAGCAGGACTTGGCAGAACTTTTCATTGCCTTATCATGATAAATTGACTGTGATTTGCGGGGTTGTTGAATAGTCAGGAGGCAGAAAAAATTTATATACTTTTTGAATTTCGATCGCTTTAATTCTCCATTCAACATCCACAATGTACTTTTGTAATAATTGAACGATTAGCATGAGGCACTGATTCGCGTGACTGAGAATATTTCTCATTAGATCATTCTTTCCATTACATGGCATTGCACTTAGGAAAGTTTAATAAATATATCATATGTAAATGGCTGTTGGATTACGATTCGTGGCAGCGGGGATGGATAATTAAAAATGAATCTTGAATAGCTCAAGGAATATGTGCCGAGAGATTGATTAGATCTGACGAGACATTCGATCTAGTCGGATCAAAGGACGCGTTTCAAACTTGCCGAGCGATTATCATTAATAAAACTCGTACACCGCGCAATTAAATCTGTTTTATTTGCCGTTCAGCTGCAGCACGTACACGCAATCCCGATAATTGATTAATAATTTCCGACGCCAATCAATAGGCAACATTAACAAGCCAATGTCTGCTCCGCGAATCGCTCATAACCTTTCTTCTTCCACTCCCCTGGCCCCAGCATCCCCACTTTTCTATCATCCCACCCCATCCGCCCCAGGCGAATCTTTCCCTGACGAACTACAACTCGCACACCCCCAAACGCTGCGGATGATTGATTCAAGGAAACAGAGAGGGAGAGGGAGAGAGGGAGAGGGAGAGAGAGAGAGAGAGAGAGAGAGAGAGAGAGAGAGAAGTAGCATAAAATAAGTCTGTAAAGGTTAGATCGAGCGCCATGAATATTCGCATGGATCAATGTGATTTTTGCGTAGGGAGTGCAAGCACGCGATTATTCGCTTTTCAATTTTTAACGAGCAAATTTTTTAACCCCTTCATATTTATTTATCGAGCTGCCTATGGGAATACACGAGTTGCGAATATTTTGCTACTCTATTCGAGCAATTAAGTTTTTGGATTAAGTATCATGCCGTGTCTTCCTTAATAATATAACGCACAGAAATCGGATGTAGAAGTTTAGCGTCTTATCTCACTAGATAGGAAAACTAGTTTCCAAGTAGAAATTCGATCGTGCTTGCAGCAAGTATCCGACACCTTGTTCCTACAAATAAATCTCCTTCTTCTCGATGTAAATATGACTTGATTTCAATGACTGACAAACGAGCAAAGTCGACATAAAATCAAATCATATTTTCAAATCCGGTTTTTATGCCTAATTAAGTCAAAGTCCTGCGCTTTTTGTAAATCGAATCAACTCGCCCGGATTTTTGCTTGTAAATATTATTGGTTTTTCTAAACCTGTTAGTCATGTCTCTTACGATGATAAATTTGTGTATTATTAGACACCTTTTCCGAGCATTAAAAGAAATATTCAACTTTAATAATAAAATCGTTAATGCGAAATCGTAAATACCAAATTTACGATTGATGAAATGTCTACAATCAACGTTAGTTAGTAACCCAACCAAAACTTAGTCAGCACTTGCTTACGTGTCGCAAATACGTTTAAGCCTAATGAACATATAATGATCAAGACGTGTACTTACAAAACCACAAACTTTAAGAGAAATTGCCAAAAGTGCTAGTAAGATTGAAACGATGTCGCGGCAGCTCCGCAGCACCTCTTCCGCCCTCTTTTCTTGCTTGTACATTTTAAAGAAGATACGTTAAACCAAAACAAAAAAAAACAAAAAAAAAAACAAAAAAAAAAACAAAACAAAAAACAAAACAAAAAACAAAAAAAAAACGGAAAAGAAATTGTCGGGCAACAGTCAGGGGGAAAAAAAAATGAGCGGAGAAATGCATAAATAGCGTGAAACGAGTTGAGCTTACCTGAGCATCTGCGAGGATGCGTCGCATCAAGGCCAGGGTGGGGTGCTTTGCAACGTCATTATCGAGGCCAAGCACGTCACTGTTCTTACTCAGTAGGTTTAAACTCTTCAGGGCTGCAACAAAAAAATGAAAGGCACATGGACTTTAAAGCTGATGCGCAACCTGTTCGATTTGCGAGAAGAGCGAGTCGAGCTTCATTTACATACTTTACGCGCTTATCTCTCGATTACTTTACCCGCCAACCTTGTAATTTATCAATTCCCATGCGCTCGTCGATGCCACCTAATGGAACCTGCTGCTTTTCGCGACCATCTCGTCTCCATTCAATGAAAACTATTTGCAAATACGTTATCGATGGATAAACGATAAAGGATTTTACGCAGCGTTAAGGGCAGCAGATTACGTACGTAAATAAAAACTGCGGCTAATTTTTGCCTTTTAGCTGCTAAGCTGCTTGAGCTCCATCATTCTGCTTGGGATATTATCAATTAATTCGGACTTGGTTACTTCGTTATAACTATAGTTTACCAATTACCGTATTCGCTGATGGTCGCGTCGTCATTGGGCGTAATATTAAATATCGGGCTACTCAATCGGGACTCCGCGCAGCTCTAATCACAAGATAAATTTGCAAATGGTCGCCTCAGCGCCATAAGCGTTCGAAGAAGCTCTAAAGTCTTATCAGCGCCACTATAAAGTCCGCGTAGCTCGAGGTACAACGGCAACAAATCCCAATTCAATTCGCCCAAGCAACTGATCGTAAAGTGTCATGTATTCTAACGAAGTTAAAAAGTCATCGACAATATGCTCGACACGGGTGCAAATCTTCCTAAGGACATTAAATGAGAGAGTGGCGCTAGCAGTCCGGAACTTTACCAAAAGCGAGATCCTCGTAGACAGCGGAGCTTTCCTCCCTCCTGCCTCATTATCACTCCCTCCCCCATCCCCCCTCCCCTTCACACACACACACACACACACACACACACACTACCCACCCTTCCCGCCGTACCATCAACCTTGATTGAATTTCCAAGTGGCGGGATGGCCCTGGCACACTGAGAAAACGGATCGAGAAGCTGGAAAGCCGAAGATAGGGAAGGCCACCGCGGATAATGGCGAATAGAGAGATTCTCACTAGTCAGACACTCCGCGCTTCTCGCTGACGCTTCCAAGCTTTCACAGGGATGATCGAATCGCGAGGTCCATCCGCACCCGACGCCGACACTCGTGACTACACCAGACCCCGAGCAGACACGGGGCTCTTATGGGGCTTCCGTGTCGCAAACGTCCTCCTGACTATCGCGTTGAGATTTCGAGCGTCCGCGCGTTATTCCGAAGGGAGCCTATCTTTCACGGCCCCTCGGGGTTTCCGAATTATGCGATACCGTGAATAACATGACAACCGCCACGCGAACTAATTTACCTCCGTGAGATGAATCGAGCTGATATATTTCCACTGTCTGCTCGAGCGAGAAATCACCTTTTTTGAATCTACAATGTAGCGTAATTGCAGATCGTCTGAGTTATTTGTAAATGATAATGTGCTCGATAATCAGCCGATGTACTTGGAAAATGTTCAGAAAAATATTTCCCATCGATGTATCATTCCTATATAATCGATTATGTTGGGAAATTAGAATTTCATTACCAGGATGGATTTCTCTTCGATTCGAAGATATTTGAGAAGAGATTGAGAATGTTGATGCGAACATTCGAAATGACCTTTTCTTCTTTTTCTTTTTATTTTTGTTCACTTCTCGCGTTACGCGAATTGCAAATATTCATAAATTACTCATCGATTGATGCATTACGACGTGAAAAAATAGATCCGCTAACGAATCAACAATATCTCGTGCGAGTCACCCTCCTAATTCGAATATACGTACGCTCGTGGAAAATATGCGTCCTCGATAGTACGATATTACAAAATCAGATTTTTCCGGCGTTTTTAAATCAAGTAAAAAAATTGCAGATCCCCTAATTGGGCATTTGTTCGACGACGGGACTCGCATTAGTCATCGGTTAAAGCTGGTACGTTTCATTTGCAAAATTCTGATTAGCAAACCCTTCGCCACTTGGCCCCTTAACTACCACTGCGCCACGCCCCCTAACCCCTAAAAAATTTTTAAAAAAACAATGCGGATGGATTCTGGTCGGCGGCTCTTAACATAGTATCATCGAGTATCTATGGCTTATGGCTTTCTCGACTTGCATGGCCACTGCGCATGCCTGCGAATGCTAGCGATCGTACACTCGTTTTTTTCATTTTTTTTTCTTTCTTTTTTTTTTTTTCCTTTCCGAACGACGCGTACAGATAGTCGATGTTATAAACAGCCAAGTGCCTATTTTTTACGCCCTGCCACGTGCTTAGAAAATGCAACGAAATGGATATTGTTATTTCCAAAGTGGATATTGTCATTAACGAGCTAAGTCGTATGGCAATCATAAAAGAGGCTTTGCGACTCTGGGATAGGAGATGAAATCATTTCGAAACGAGCTTTTGCCATTTGGTTTCAATGGTGATTTCCATGGTAAATCCCTCGAGGATTTTACGTGGACTTATTCGTGAATTCGACTTACTTCGGACGAGCCCAACACCTCCTTCATTTTCGATCAGCATGCATAATATCATTATACGCAAATTTGCCGCACACTAATCTTTCGGCAGTTTGGAATTTAGTTATATAAATTTATCTTAGACTACAATCTATCTGTATGTATGTATTTGGGATATATATAAGTAAGCGAACTATAAATAAGCTATTTCAATCATAACTCAAAACTCAATCTCATATATTTAAAACTTCCTTTTTCTTTTATCTTTTAGTCACATTTTTGTACGCCCAGCAAAATCACATGGCATTTATCAAATACGCTTGAGCTACGGTGAGGCGTAAAATTTAGAAACAGAGCTGTGAAAATAAATGTTTTTCTCGCGGCACTAAACGAAAATTACAATTTTTCCTCGATATTTGATATTTATTACATAGCATTACATCGATCTCTCCCAAGTATGTGCCAATTAAAGTTCCAAGTCGAAGAAAAAAATATACAATCAACAGTTTCATACGAGCAGATTAAGCAGCCTAAGTAATCTTTACGCGTTATATAAATAAAACCTCGTGGGTGCATCATCATCAAAGCCAATTGCTTTGCTTTCACAGTATGTAGCGCTGTAGAATTGTGTTATTATTATCAACCCGGCAGCGTCTATACAGCGATGATAAAAATTGCAGCACCGAGGATAAGTAGGACTCCTCGCGTGGCTCCGTGCATAAATCACAAAAAAAAAAAAAAAACCAAAAAACAAAAAACAAAAAAAAAAAAAAGAAAAGAAAATTAAAAGAAGAAAAAAGAAAAAAGGCGTAAATTTATTTACCGACTGCATATTAAAATTAAAGCCCTGCAAATTCGAAGATCCATTATTCCTGTGGTGATTTACACATCGACTTGGAGTCTTAAAACGCAATTGGAATATCACCAATGAGAGGAAGCCATCTCGTTCGACCATTAGCCAAAGCTTAAGTCGGTGTGTGAAAGTCTAATGGCAGCGGAAGGGCCATTCGTCTTGGCGAGACGTTCATTCTGATTTGTAGACTTCACCGGGAGTGGGTGACAATTAAGACATAAGTTTATTTAAAATGATTTGAAAGACTTTCATTTCAGTTGGCTCATTGATTGCGACACTTAAATGAGGATTAATCGACGAGTCTCTGATATAATTACAATTATGTTATAATAATGTATAATCTCGCTGAATGCATGGGCTATTAGCAGTTGAAATGCCGTTAAACTTTATATTGTTTAAGCGATTGGGTGATTCGAGTTTGTGATAAAGTTTATATGAAAATCTTTTTAAAGTTTGACGTCAGTTAAATGGTCGAGTAGTCTTCGTAATTGCACGATAATAATGCTAAATAACTTCTTTTTTTTTTCTTCACCTATGACATTTTAGCGATGATGCTACATAATTATAGATTTAAGGATACAATCTTCTAGGAATACAATTGCAAAAAATTTTAATTAGACTTTTCATATTGGCTCAATAAATTAGTAAATATTATACATATTTTTGCACATAGCGACAATAAATGGAGAACTTTGTATAAGTTTATGCAAATTGTAATGTTTTTTTTTTTAACTTGAATACAGAGATAAATTTACTTGGTTGTACGTAATTTTCTGTAATATACATAAATTAAGTAAATCTTATTAAATTGCCTGAAAATTTTCCTAATTTTCTTGATTATCACAATCTGCCTCTCGCCTCTCGAACAGAAAGCTGCGGTCAAAAAAAAAATGGGATGGCGAGGGACTACAAAGTCGAATTATTTAAAATAATTTTCGTCGCGAACAAATACCAAACAAAATAATGGCAAAGGACATTGTCCACCGCAGCCCAAAGATAACTAAATAGCTCTACGCAAGTCGTAAGTAGAGAAAACAAAAAAATTACGAATAGCCGTAAAAGGGGTTTAAGGGGTCGGCCAATCAGCAGTGAATATAGGGTGGGACGGCAGAAGCAAGAGCCATCGCGTAGGGAAGAATACTTGCGATTGGCGACCGGTAAATCCCAATAATCCCTGAAATAGACGGAAGAAGTCGTCGGCGATCCGAAGGATCTTGTGACACTAGCGCTCGACGCGGATCTTTCTTCCCCGGGAGACGAGTACGTGTCCTTCGTTGCCCTACTCGACGATTAACTTTCTTTAATTAGAGTCAAAGAAATTGTCTCTCGCAGCGGAGTAACCAACAGACAGTTCGACCACTGGTTGATATTGTGGATTATGAAAACTGTTGCTCGTGCAAAACTTTGAGCATTGACGCTCGGCATTGACGCTTTCGGGCTCGCTTTTACCGGCCTTTTTCTCTTTGATTTGCCACAAGAAACTTTGACGATTAAAAGCCAAACTTTATTTATGTCTCTCGTTATGCCTTAATTTACCTCGGAAACATTGTAGCTTCGTAACTTCTAGGATCTGTAGTATCAGCCAATTACAAATATTTGGCGCCCACCCTGCTTATGGTGAAAAATTCGATGTTTAAGTAAGTTTTATCTTTTTCTCCAATATTTATTGGAAGTCTAGTATATTTTTGTATAATCGTTTGAATA